CATCACAAATAAGAAACAATGTGTGAAGACTGTAGCATGCATGGCTTCAGCTTCTGCTTCTCATGTGCTCCACCACCCTCCAACCTGCACATGTGGACGTTTTTCATTCATCTACATGAACACATGCGTGTGCAGAAACGCCAATCATAGGTCAGAGGTCACACCTATTTCGTAACTATTGAGTTCCTATTTCTCTTTATTAAGTGTGCCTATGCCAAAAGGCACACTTATTACTATTGCTCGGATTTCTTCTTCTTCTTATTATTATTATTCTCCATCTTCCGCCTGAACTTTATGACAGCCTCCCCTATTTTCAGGCGAGAATGTAGGGGTGTAAACTTCAAATATCTGCTCGTTTTATCAAGAAGTCCCATATTTTATCAAGAAGTCCCATATCTCTCACGATGTTACTGCTAGCGCCGCATGGCAGCTAGCCGGCTAGCTGGCTAGCGCGGCTTGGCTGACACCCAGGCCGGGCTGGCTGACACCCAGGCCCGCTCACGCTCTCGTGTCACCCCTAGTCTTTCGTGATGACTCTTGGTTGGCTGCTGGACTTATTTTTCATTTATATGGGCTGGTGATTCGGTATGAGTGTCCGGTGAACTGAATGTCAGGTAAGACGTTATGTATATGTAAGGTAGTGACTGGAATAAGTCACAAGGTGTCGCTGTTGAGCTGCATATATGTTGTAAATTTTAGCAATTTTGACCATTTGTCCTCTGCAGGACACCGTAGTTCAGATTTCTCGTTCGCGTGGGCGCCATCTTGGTTCAGTGTTTACTGTGATGTGCAAAGGTAAGCACTGTCAGTGGCGAACTGCATTGGTTTTGTTTAAAAATAAGTGTTCCACTGTGTAAAATAGCGGTTTGTCATTTAAGCCGAGCATATATTTTGTTTATTGAGAGGTTCATGTATTGTCTGATGAGAGTATGAGCAGTTTGTGTGCATGTTTCATTTGGTAATATCTGCCGCAATTTCGGGCTACATTCCCGCTAGTTAGCAGAGCACCCATTCGGGCAAAGTAATGCAAGATGAAGCATTAGCTTTTCAGCTGCAGTTTGCTGGTAATCCTGCTATGTTAGTTTTGTGTCATACTCATTCCTGAGACCGTGGAATTTTGTAAAAACATGATTATTTTTGCTTAATGTGTTTTTTATATATATTGTTGTTGTATTTTACTATGTTGATAATCACGCAGTGTTTACTGTGATTTGCAAAGGGCCAGCAGCAGAGTTGGAGTGGTGTTTGCCCCAGCATCTGAATAAACGGCACGGTCCGAGCCACAAATTGAACGCCTGTGTCCGACTGGTCTCTCTACTGTGCACCCCAATCCAACACAAACTTACACAACGCAGAGTCCGGGGTGTAGGGAGGCCCCTGCACGGGTTGGGTTACATATATTTCCGTTGTGCTGACTTTTTACAATCAGTTACAATAAGTCGTACAGCTGGGTGGGTGCTGTGTTACTGATGGTGAACTTTATTGTATTCATAAGGTTAGTTATTGGGTTGCCAACCGCCCCGTGCAAACGGAATCGTCCCGCATTCAGAGAAAATATTACGCGTTTCGTATTGAGCTGAAAAGGAACACAGTTTGTCCCGTACTTCAGGTAGAATGGAAGAAGACACAAAGCTGGATTTATTCTGTCGTTACTCAGGCTCCCCTGTCATTCTCTCGCCTGTTGCAACTTCAATCGTGAAACTGATCAATGATCGGCTTTTCTCTCGTTTGTTTATTGCGCTAAACAACAGCAGCACGTTTAAGCTTGATCAGCTGTTGTTAGAATTCATTTGATTTTAATTTCTAGTATCAGCTGATGTTTGCTGGAGCCACAGCTGTAAAAAAGGGCTGGTCGAAACCAGGAGATGTCCTTACTGAATCATCAGAGCTGAACTGGTGATGGAGAAACAGGTTTACCTTTTAGGTGACATGAATGAGTTGAAGGGAAGTTATGAACTGTTTCTGAGAGACAAATAACACCAAGCTCCTTTTTTTGTGTAGCTGACAGCTGGTGGGGGGACACAAAGATATACTTTTCTTTCTTACTCTCATATAAAATATTTAGCTTTTATTAAATAGTTATCTGAATCTTACAACCAAAGTTTGTATAATAATACACAAGATTGGCTGTAGACCATACCCTTGGAGGATCTTAAGGACATTTATTGTCTTTTGAATTTTAGTTTTAAACCATTTTCACTGTGTTGAGTGGATTATAGCCAAATTTGTCAAAGAATCTTTTTTTAACTTTTTTTTTTAATTGTGGTGTAAATTCATTAAATTAGCCTAAAATGGCTAAGCTACAGCAATGCATCCACCTTTATGCCTTTGGACAAAAATTGTCCCATTGAAACCCATTATAAACGCTATTTTTCACGCCAGAAAAATTACGGTTTAAGGGATCGTCAGGTTTCCACCTTAGGTTTCGTTTTTAACTAGAGACCTTAGAGTTGTAATTTTTTTATTTGTCCACCGAGTGGCGCCCTTGCTTCACATTTGACCTCTGCTCGAAAACAGCGGGCTGCAGAACTGAACTGCGGGAAAGGAAGTCTGATTTCCGGCTTGCATCACCGGCTTCGCCCGCTGATCGGGCGGACCATTTTCCCCCTAGACGTGAGAGGTGGATTTTTTTTAATCAACAGGAAATGACGTATTTGTTGTCACGTGGTATGGACGTGTGTGCTGGAGAAAGGAGTCCCACGCAACATGCCCCGGTTCGTCGCGAGTTACCCCGGGAACAGGCACCTCTTTCGGCCTAGAGGAGAAGCATTGACCGCCTGGAGACCATTTTCGGCTCCGGAAATTTTTTTTTAAAGTAGATCGAAATTACTTTTGGTGCCGATCTTTGGACCATCTAAAGGCCTAATTATAATAACAATCAAATATTACTTCAAATGTTTTTTTTGGAAAATATTTAGTTTTTTAGTTTTTTTGTAATACAACTGGGATTTAAAGGGTTAAAACAACGAAAATATAATTAAAACTTTATATGAATATTTCAGGGAGAAGTAGTTTTAAAAGACTGACCAATTTAAAGTGAAAAAAAAATTAATATTTAATATTTTTATTGCACTTTTTGGGGAATGGACATAGGCTGCATTTTTTTTAATGTGCTCCTGCAAAAAAAATAATGGCAGGTCAAAATGAATGTTTGGTGCCAATCTTTGGACCATCTAAAGGCCTAATTATAATAACAATCAAATATTACTTCAAATGTTTTTTTTGGAAAATATTTAGTTTTTTTGTTTTTTGGGGCTAAAAAAACAGGGCGCTCGTGTAATAAACTGGGATTTAAAGGGTTAAAACAACGAAAATATAATTAAAACTTTATATGAATATTTCAGGGAGAAGTAGTTTTAAAAGACTGACCAATTTAAAGTGAAAAAAAATATGAATATATAAAGTTTTTATAGCACTTTTTGGGGAATGGACATTTATTGTCGTTAAGCACAAAGGTGGATGCATTTTTAAGACGCCTCCAGGTGTTAATCATTCAGAACACTGTGTAAAAATAACAAAAAACAAAAAGTGAATGAAAAGTGCATAAATATTTATTTTACGTGTTTGATGTGTGTGGCAGGGCGTGGTCTGCAGTGCCGCTGCAGGGGAGGTGGACCCACCTCAGCGGCATCTGCAATCACGCCTCTCAGGTGTAAAGTCTGTGCTCTCTCTGCTTTTTTTTTTTTTTTTGTATGTGTCGGGCTGTGAGATGAAAAGCTACAGCCGGCTGTGTGGGTACAGCAACTATGTGTGAAAAGTGGTCCATAACGTAATGCTTCAAAGTGTGTTCATGCAAACATTGTCGGGTCTGCTTATGAACCTCTGCGCACAGCGTCTACAAATTGGGGCTGTACGAAGTCACCTCATCTTTACACAAAACTGTAAGCTGTCATCTGTGAGGCGCGAGCGGTGTTTGGTTTTACCATAGTTCATGGTGGAGAATGGCTGCTCTGCTGAGTTTTGCTCTCTGTAGCCGTTTGAATGGCAAACTATACTGATTAGCGGCGGCATAGGCACACTTAAAATTTCTTCTGAAATTTTCGCTTTCTAGTTCTTTATTCCACTATTTTATTCTAGCTGCTTCCGTACACTTTTTGGCGCTTAACTACTCCCACAGTTTTTGTGCTATTTGCCATTCAAACTTTAAAAAATTCTGCTCTTTCTGCTAATGCCGGCTATGACTTTTGGTGCTCATAACTTCTATACTTTTTGAGATATTGAATTTTTTTTGCAATATTTTTTGCCCATTTCTGCCATATCATCAGTGGCCTCACTGATTTTCCTTGCCGGGTTGACCTGTGTTTTAGCTCAGTGAGATGAGCATCCGTTCTCAGACTGGGAGGCCCGGGTTCAAATCCCGCTTATGGCAACATTTCTTTCAGTTAACACTTAAACTTTTTTAACTCTTTTCAGCAAAATTTTCAGTTTTTTCTGCTGTTTTCAGAAAAAAACTCTTTTCAGCAGAAATTCTGCTGATTCACCTCTTTTCTGCAAAGTTTTCAGCCTTTTCACCTCTTATCAGCACAATTCTCAGCCGCTTCTGCTCATTTCAGCACAATTGTCAGTCTCTCCACCACTTCTTTGTGAGAAAGAGTTTGGTGCAGTGAGATGAATAGCTACCTTGAGACCTGAAGGGCCAGGTTTGAATCCTGCTCAGGGCAATGGTTTTTTTTTTGTTTTTTTTCTCAACTTTTTCAGCTTTTTTCAGCAGACATCTTCAGCGTTAAGGCATCCACACAGCATTTTCGCAGGAAATGCAAATTTTTCTAGTTGTCTGAGACTGTGATGTGTAGAAGTGCTCGATGTAGTCACCGATTTTCATCTGCAGTTCTTATTTATCGAACAATACCATGAAGATGAACGTGGAAGCACGCGAGCACAAAAAGTAGAATAATAGCAAAACTTTAGTGTTTTAAAAAACAATAATAAAAATGTACAAACACACATGTGACTCCAGACTGCAACAGCTCTCAGATTAGAAATGAGCGACAGTTTCCTTTGGAAAGATGATTTTAATATAAAATACTTCACTCAAAGTTTTGTTTTCTTCTATTTTTTTTATAATATTATTTTTGTTGTTCTTTATTACTATTAATCACTGATATCAGTGTGAGCCCCTGAAAAGCCTCATCAGCTGATATCCAGCTTATTTAATGTTGTGCCCCAGAAGAAATTTGTCATCTGAGGTCAGTGGTTTTATGCACAGTCCCTCACAAATAAGCAATAAAAAGACAAAACAGGAAGATTACTGATGAATGACATAATAAAGTTCACTTACTCTGTCCTTATGGCTTTTATAATACGAGTTAACCGGTTCACATCCACAGCCAGACTGGTTCCAGCTGACAGTAGCACAGCCAGCATGAAGCACGGCAGCACCTTCATCTGCATCGTTTCAAACAACACGTTTGTGATGAGTTTTAATGCAGTAAACAGTTAACCATTACAGTAAACTGTTAACTCAAAACTCTTAAAAATATCTTACCTTTAAAAAGTCTTTTAAAAATGTCAAACTTTTCCACCTTCACTGCTTTGTTTGTCCTGAAACTGCAACAGAAGAAAGAAACCAGTGAAATGCAGGAAACTGAACTGGGACTAAACTGAACCAAGAGCTTCACATACCTGCTCAGGTGGAAGGTCTGTGACCTTCAGTTAGCTGTAAGGAGTGGTTCTATCTGCAGTCGTTCAGGAGGTTTTTATATGAGCAGAGGGGCACAGCAGCCTAAAAATGAGGAAGACAGAAACGAGAAGAAGAGCATCTTATCAGAGCATCATCACATCCTCTCCGCCTGTGGCCACAGTCAGCAAATATGATGAACTCTGTGAGTGCGACAGCTTTTTACAAGCTTCAGCCACAATCAGTCGTTAAAACCCTCTACAGCATAGCGTTGCCCTGAGGCAACAAACCACATTTTCATGCCTTACACTGGCCCTTCAAAAAAACAACAACAACTTTTTTTTTTCAAATAATGCTACCAGACACATCTCTTTCCAATAAAATGATGAGTTGAAGGTGGTGTGACTTTCATTTTGGGGGAGGACCCCTTTCTGCAAGCTGCACTACATGAGGACATCTCCATTAGGAGGCAAGATAAAGATCACTATTTTACATGTTTATAGTGAAATAAATGTATATTAAAAATACTTGTATGTGCATGAATATGTTAAGAAGCATATTTGATTGTTTGTTCTACTTTTTAAAATTTATTTATACAGTAAAACTGTTAATTTTCATTCGTTGCCTCAAGGCAACACTGCGCAGTTAGCCCAATTTTTTTCAGGCAATATAATGCATTTGCATATATTGCATACTCAGTAAGTGAGGACAGTGAGCTTTCAGGGAGTGACATTGAAGTAGAGGAGTGGATCCCTGAATGAGGTTTGGGGGATACTTAGGAGCTCAGGGGTCAGTTGGTAAAGTAACTGTGTCTGTGTGTGTAGTGCCCACATAGCAAGCAGGTCTGGCCAGGATCTGGTATCAAGTCGGCACTGCTGGCCGACTTCTGGCATGATAAGACGTATGTCATCAGGCCTGGCATAGATGGCACTGTCTATGTGATGGCATGCCATATCTGGCTTGATTGTGGCTTGGTTTATGTGGCCCAGGCCTACAGAAAACAGGTCTGGCCCAGATCTCATCAAGCTGGCACTTCTGACTGACTGGTGTTTTGGCAGAGTGTATGTCAACCAGATGTGTGCCAGGTCTGGCAATGACGCCACTGTTTATGCGATGGCATGCCATATCTCAGGTGGTAGAGCAGGTTACAAACTGATCGGAAGGTTAGCTGGTTCGATCCCTGGCTCCTCCAGTCTGCATGTCAAGAGTGTGAATGTGTATGAATGTAGTTAGGAAGCACTCAGTTAAGCAAAAGTGGCATGTTGTATAGAGCAGTTTGAGTAATCTGGGAGAGTAGAAAAATGCTATATAAAAATCAGTCCATTCACTGTCTGAACAGAGTTTCGGCATGTTACTTTTGCACTGTTTTGCATGTTCTGGCACATGTTGTTATTACATGGCTTGATTAAGGTACACATTAGGCTGACATCTGGGGCTAGAGCTGAAACCGTTCTGGCCCTTTGGTGGCGCCCAGACCTGGTTTGCCAGTGGTGGCCCATTCAGAGCAACGGGTTTTTCCCTTTTCTACATCTGCATGTTCTCGGAAAGAGCTGAGGTTTCTCTTCTCTACATCTAACTGTTCTCTGAAAACAGGAAGTGGTTAGTAGCTGAATAAGTTCATCACAAAAGTTATTAGGTGAAAAGTCACGTAGACATGTAGATTGCTTAGTGATCAATAAAAAGCACATTTTTATAATGCTAACTGTTTTGGCAATATTATTACATCTAATAGTGTTTTCAGAAGACTTCCATGTTGTACTGGGTGTCCAGTAGATGTAATCACTCCTCTGTTCTGCCAAATTTTTGCAAAGTGGTGAACTACTGAAAAACATACTGGCTGTCTGTGTATATATTTATATCTTGGCCTGCAAGCAATTCACATGCATGTATGACTGCTTTGAGTTCTGCACTCTGAGTGGAGTGTGGATGACCTTCTTCAGGTGAGGCCAAAAGTGTGCTTGGGTTCAATTGACCACACTTGTGGATGGTAATGTGTGATTGCGACAGTAAGATTCCAACATATGATAGTTGTCTTGCATGCGTCAGGTAAGACAGATTGGCTTGGAGTAAAATTGAAGTCACTGCGTGGGGTACTCTGATGATCAGAGTGTGCCCTAAAACAATGTCAGCTGACTTTCTTTCTTTTTTTTTACTGCCTCTGATGCGGCTGCACAGGCTTGCACATGCAGGCAGGCCTGACGCAACAGAGTCTAATTTGCACGAGTAAAATGCGAGCGGGCGTTGTTTTTCTCCAAATGCCTGTGTTAACACTGCTTTCATATAACCTGCTCCTCCATCTACATGTAAGTAGAAAGGCTTATCATAGTCAGGCAATGCTAAAACTGTATTTGTCTGTAATGCCTATTTTTAAGTTACTGAATCCTTCTTCTTTTTTCTTCTCTATAGATGCAACACTACATTTTCACTTAAGGCATTTTAGATATTTCTAGTTTTTTCCAAAGAATTCACACATCTCACACATCCTACATATTTCAAACTTTTAAGTTAGGATTTTTTAAAAAACAACAACTTTGCATTGCTCATAGCTCACAGCTCTAAAACTAGGCATTTGTAAATCATATGCCTAATCAGTATGTGTCACTGTGATCCACAAGTATGGTCACAAATTTGTTTCCAAACAAACAAAATAATCAAACAAAAACAAAAACGTACAACATTAGTCAGGACACAAAAAGGAAAAGAAAAAAATGCTGCCAGAAACAAATCAGAAGTGTGAGGACAAAACTGAGCTCACAGACAGCTGCATGTGTGAGCTTTTAATATCATGCAGCCTCTGCTCTAAAAAAATAAAAATGTGTAACTTGCTCATTAACTTGGTAGTCTACATATTTAATTCAACTTCTCAATCCCGTAGCTTTAGCTGGTGTCTACAGGGTTTGGCTTATTGGTTGTTATTATAGGTTTGCTCTATATCTCAGCAATGTCTCATCTAGGATGACAGGTTTCCAACCGGGTCAAGTGCCTCTATGCACTTCATTAGTTTACTTATTTTCTTCGTTATCTTCATCTCATATGTCGTTCTGCTGAGTTTGAGCAACCTTAAGCTTGATGCAGACTACTTCTTAACAATTATCCACCTCACATCATAACTGACTGAGGTGCCTCTTCATATTAATATTATGTCATAATTAATGTTATTATCTTTTTTTATATATAACAGCAATAGTATATTACAATATTTTATTACTGAGCCAATTTGATAGTTAGGATCATCGTACTCAGCAAACAGATGATTTAGAATTCATCCAATCTGCACAGATTTGCTTTTTCTCTGAACAGGTTTGTGCCTACCTTTTTAGACCGGTCTTCTGTTTGCCTCATATCAGATCCAACCTTCGGTCACATTCGTTCTCTCTGTTGCATGGCGAACCAGGCAGTTTATTATAATATATTATTTATATTTTATTTTGTATCCATCAAGGGCTTCGGGTGATCTGCAGTTTCACCATTTCCCAAGCTGGAGACATTTACCTTTTCACACACTTTCCTTGGCTGAACAATGACACAGCCTTAATGTACCTTATGCATCTCTCTATTTTATTTAATAGGTTTTCGTGTGAATTATTTGCTTTCATTCATTCCATACATTCTGTACATGGTCGTCATGCCAACTATGTTTCATTGTTAATATCAGTTTACAGGTTGTTATCCTTGCTATTATTAGTTTCAATACATTTTAAATAAGTTCTAATGTAATTTTGTCTTTGTTTATTTTATTTTTGTACTTCTTATATTTATATCTATTCGGTGGGTTCTGTTTCCAACCTTTTTAAACTACTTTAAACTACTTTGATCTCTAGTTTTCACTTAATAAGGGATTATTATGTTCTTCCTGATATGGGTGAGTATATAACAGGTGGTGCTGCAGATGCGGCTGCAGGAACGGGTGGTGGATTAATAAAAGGATTGCGAGGACTGCACAGTGTCTCGTCTTCTGGTTTTACTAAACTGGCAGCTAAGTTCTGTTTTTCTGACTGTTTATCTTCTTTCTCTTGTTTTTTTTTTCTCTTTTATTCTCATCTCGCCTAGCTGCTTCTTCTTTCCAGGCCTTGAAATATTGTGATCCTTGCGTGTGTTTTCCTTTCTTTCTTAAGTCTTTTGTTTCTCCTATTTCTTTCAAAAGAGCTTCCTTCAGTTGTGTTAATGCTGAGGGGCTGCATTTACCTTCCCAAATGGGACATTTTGTTTTCTTAGATTTCTCCATCTACAAGCACTGATTTGTCCGGCGCCTGGACATTGGGGGTGTATGGGGGTGCCTACTGGGGTCAGCGGGGGAGCTGGCCCCAGGGAGGGGTCACTTGCCCCTCCCTTCCTTCCCTCCCCATCTCCAGCTGCCTCCCTCTTCCCGCTCCACCACAACCACCCACACATGCAGGGCCTTGGAGTAGGGGTATGTCACCAGGGTGCAGAGGAGGCTACCCCCCCCTCTGTCCCCTTCTGGCTGCCTCTGCCTCAATTTTATCCCACAACTTAGACATTCACATTACTCACACTCTCATTACACATACATATAGGATCTTGGGGGTGGGCACGATACACGGAGTCCAAAGTTACCATCAGGGTGTACACCCCCCTGGCGTCGTTGCCCACCTCTCAATTTTAAATACACGTAGACATTGAGGGCTAGCAGGAGGGACCATGCGCTTACCTGCTGCTCTCTGGCAGGTAGCTCCATGCCCTCCTGGGTTTTAAATGCACCTTAGAACACACATGCATCAACACTACAATGAGCGGGTGGAGGGAGGTTTGGAGTCTTCTCTCACCCCCGTTCTCTGCGGCCTGCTGGAGCGGGGGGGCTAGGAGGAGTTGGCCGTCCGACTGCGGTCTGGAGTGTGGGGCCTCCCTGCTGCTGCGGAGTCGGGGCGGTCTGCCTCTCCCCACCGCAGGGAAAAGGGTAACACCACCTGGGTCTGGGTGCAGTTCCCCCCTCCAGGGGCAAGGGTACCTAGACCCGGTTCGTAGAGTACGCTTGGGGAGTGTGATCGTGTGTACAGCGTCTCTTTATGTCTGTCTCCACGTTGGTTGAGTGTGGAGTAAGTGCATATGAGAGCATGAGGGTGGGAATGGATGTTTGTATCTGTGTGTGCCTGTATGTCTGTGTCTATATGTCAGGTTGGGTATCAGACGCCACCTCTCTGGGGACATCTTAGGCCCTCCAAGGTTTGGAGGCCTATCTCCCCCTACCACCACTTCCCCTGCCAGTGGCGGACTCCCTCAGACATCGGTGCGTTGGTGGTTCTTTGTGTCCGGGGATGGGCGTCCAGGTACACACCGGCTCACTCCTTGGCGGCCGCTTATCGGGGCCTGGAGCCTGGGGCTCGCTTGGGCCACTTCGGAGGTGGGGCCTCTCTCGGGGCCACTGGGTCACTCAGGCACAGCTGGCTGCTGGCGGAGCTCACGGGCGCGTCACTGCAACTCCCCCTGGCTTCTGCTCCGCGGCTGCTGAGTGAGCCCTCATCTGGGACTCTCCTCAGCTCTTTCTGGGACAGTGGCGCGGCTGCCCCTCTGTTGGTCTTCCTTGGTCTCTTGTGTTCTGGGGGCCTCTGGATGTCTGGAGTTTTGATCTCCTCCATACCTGCTTCATGCCCTGGAGGACGGGGCTGTGGCCCCCCCACACCCTCTAGCAGATCATTACATGAAGGAACCTTTTAAAAAAACAAGCGCGTCCATGCTCACAGGTGTACACACGGGTGATCACACCCACAAACTACACCCTTTTTGGCTCCTACCTCAAAGCACACTGTGTTCTGTTGATCTTATGTGCTGCATTAATATTTAGTATTTACTGTCATATTCCCATATATCATTGTGATGTTGTTTATTCTATTACTCTTGTTCTCTTCTGCTTGTTTTCTTTTTTCTTTCTCAGCAGGTGATCCAGGTGATCGATATATGCATTTTTTTTTCTGCCCATTCTGTTGGTTTTTGTTTTTTGCCCTTCTCCCCCGTCCCTCTTCTCAGCTGTTTCTCTTTCCCTCTTTCTTTCTCCCCTTCTTTCCCCCAGTCAAGTCTGTCCCGTATTCAGCAAGTGAAAATAAAATAAACAATAAAAGGTGAATCAAATGGACCATTACGGCAAGGCTGGGATGGTCAATTTGGTAAAGTAAATCCGTTGGGCATCTTTCTTTGCCTTTAGACAATAATTCTGATGGCAAAAGAGCCAAACGGGACAGGCAAAAAAAAAAAAATTAAAAATATATATTTTAACTCAAAAGTACAGTTTTTAAATTTAATGTTGCTGAAACAACAAAGTAATAAAAAAATAAATCTATCTGATTGAGGAATCACTCATCTTTGGAAAAGAGAGTTTATTACAGAGAAATGGCTCTTTCCAAAATAAAAGCTATACTATACGCTTCTTCTGGGCTATATTCTCAGCAGCATATTAAACATATCAGGTCCCCATAAGGAGAATCATGTGCTAACGGCTGTCTAAATGACTCGGGTAAAGTTTGTAGCATGCGTGCTTGTTGTTTTTGTCTGCTTCCACTTGTCTTTGCACTAGGATGATGTCGGCGTAAATGTGCAGTCATATTCGTTGTGTTCCCACTAGTGCTGTCAGCGTTAATCTCGTTGAAATGACGTTAACGCCACAACACGGCAAATCTCCGTTAACGAGCTACCATCGCCCCGTGCGTGGGGCTAGACGGCCAACACGTTAACGAGCTAACTGCGCTAACACACTAGTTCCCACCCATGTAATTGAGCATTGCGTGGCACATCCAACATACTGTTTTACTTTTGTCCATGACGCTTACCTTCAGGGTCATACGTCACATGAAAACCAAAATAGTTCCAAACGCCAGATCTGAATGAGGGTGGGGGAGGTTCAATTTCGGGTAGCGTTGAGGCAGTTGCCATGTTGCAACGAGCTTAGCTTCTGTCTTGCTAGCTTGCGCTGCGCTCAGTGGATCTGCACTCGACAGTGCAGCCTAGGCGGAGTAGTCAAACGCAGATCCACTGAGCGCTCAACACAGACAGCATCGTCAGAAGGAAAGTTGATAAAATAAATTAAAATTTTTGTATTGTTCGATACATATGCATACCGAACCGAAAGCACTGTATCGAACGGTTCAATATCGATACGAGTATTGTTGCACCCCTAATACATACACACAGATAGACATTTGCGCGCCAATTTGTCACGAAGTAATTGCGGCTACCTCTAAACCCAGCCTAAACTTAGTTCCTTTCGGCGAACTCAACCTATTTCACGTGTTTCACGAAGTAATTGCGGCTACTTCCAACCTATTTTGCGCATTTCACGACGTAATTGCGGCTAAATCCCCTGTCAATAATAAAGGCCTTTATAAAGCAAGGCAAGCTGTGAGAGAGAACTAGGTCAGAGGGGGACAGGTCGCCTTAGCAACAGAGGCTTAAGTTAGTGGAAGTTTAAAAAACAGGAAGTTTAGTGCAGAGCTGCAGAGGCATATCAATAAAAACAGGAAACCAGACAGAAAAAGTGGAACTAGTAACACAGAAGGAGTTGTTTTTATCAAAACTATGTGTGACGTGTAAAGGACCAAAATAACACCTCTCTCTTCTGGAAGATGATTAAATAAATAATTATAAATGTTTTGACCAACTGAGTCGTGTTCTCTCTATTCAGTAAAAGAATGACAAGAACCAGATTTAATAGCAAGCAAACTATTTCTCCAGGCTAAATGATGATCCTCTAAATTTGTGACACGCCATTTCCTCTCCAGATTACGAGTCATCTGCTTTAGGGTACGTGTTTGAGAATTATACCACGGAGTCAGGTACTTCTGATTAGAGACCTTAGTTTTCACAGGAGCTACAGTATCCAGAGTCGTACGTAGTGAGGAGGTGAAATTATTAACAAGATAATCGACTTCTGTTGGGGTAGCGTTCAGATAGCTGCTCTGCTCTATGTTGGTACAGGGCATTGAAGATGATAACAGTGGGTGGATTATATTCTTAAACTTAGTTACAGCACTTTCAGAAAGACATCTACTTTGATAAAGTCTACTCTCCACCGCTGTGTAATCAATTATTGTAAATGTAAATGTTATCAGGAAATGATCAGACAGCAGAGGGTTTTCAGGAAACACTGTTAAATGTTCAGTTTCTATGCCATATGTTAAAACAAGATCTAGAGTGTGATTAAAGTGGTGGGTGGGTTCTTTTACATTTTGAGAGAAACCAATTGAGTCTAATAACAGATTAAATGCCATGTTGAGGCTGTCATTTTTAGCATCTACATGGATGTTAAAATCACCCACAATAATTATTTTATCTGAGCTGAGAACTAAATCAGATAAAAAGTCTGAGAAATCAGACAGAAACTCTGTGTAAGGCCCAGGTGGACGATAGATGATAACAAGTAAGACTGGTTTCTGAGTTTCACAGCTGGGGTGGACGAGGCTAAGCATCAGGCTTTCAAATGAATTAAAAGTCTGTCTGGGTCTTTCATTAATTAATAGGCTGGTGTGAAAAATTGCTGCCACACCGCCCCCTCGGCCTGTGCTTCGAGGTTTCTGGTAGTTAGAATGACTCGGGGGTGTTGATTCATTTAAACTAACATAATCATCCTGCTGTAAGTTACTGAGACACTGTTGTTTAGACTAGAATGAGAGAGCTTCTGTAATAAAACTGTTAGGGGCACACCACCATTTTGAGATCGCAGGCAGTGTCATGCAGGACGCATCTCCCTTCTAGAAGTAAATAAAGTGTTAAATGGTCTACTGAGCAGTGTTTTGTCTTCCATTGGATGCCTCTAAGAAATCAAAAGAACTGGGTGAAGTGTTGATCTTAACAGTCCAAGATCTCCAGTCATCAGTGTTTGATATTTTCTTAATAATGGACAAGAAGAAGAAAAAAGCCCTAAAAACGTTTCATCTATTTAAACATTTGAATATAATCTTGTGTGTTGGAGCGATTTATTTCCATAAACCAGGGTCCTTTAAAAGCATCACTCACATATTCTGCTCAGTGATTTAGTGCCGTGTTTCCCAACCTTTTGGAGCCACTGCACATTTTCACTTTAGATTAAAATAAAACAAAAATGTCACAAAAACTATATTGATCATTTTTCCCCGTGCACTCTGCTAGGTTTGTCCCCCGTTTACCTTTTTTGCTTTCTTCTGACCACTACTCATGTTAGGGGTGTCATCTGGGTCAGAATTTTCTCCAGGACCAGGTCTTTTTCTTATAAATATTTATCTGTTGCTATTACGTGTTGCGTAGTCTCACAGCATGACTATTATGCAATTTCTTCTTCGTCTTCTTCTGTTTTCCTGGCAGTTGGCAACCCATTTAATTAGAGCATGTAGTGGTACTGCCCTCTAGTGGAAGAGAATATAATTGTTCCACCAGTTACTCACGCCAATCACTTAGAGAACCATATAATCTTCCACAGCACAGTGGTTAGGTAACACTGATTTAGAGAATAAAAGCTCAGAGTCACTGGGCTTCATAAAGAGGAAGCTGAACATGTGAAACTCTCCTTCAGAATAAAAGACACGTGCAGCAGGCTGGATGCTGAGCTTTATTGAAAGAACACAGAGGGGTCAAACACCTCACAGTCAGGCAGTCACATGATTCATGGCAGACAATGCTCTCACACACTTCACATGTGAGTGTCTTATCTGTCACATGATTAATGAGATGTTTGTGTAACTACTGAGGTTAATAGAAGAACTGAGAGGGGAGGCTGGAGTTTAGAGTTAGCTGAGATCATGAGAAGAGCTTGGACTCCCTTTGGGCAGCAAGTAAAAACTGACTGAGTTCTGTGTGATCTTCCTTTGTACACAGGTGATTGGTCTCTGAGTCAGCGGGGTTTAAGTGTTAGACCCAACAATAAGCGTTGTTAATAATACAATATTGTGAAATTGTGTTTGTTTCCCCTCCAAAGCAGCTGTAACAATCTGGGTCACAACGAAAGATGTTAGTCAGCCCACCGATGGCATCACCAAGAGAACGAAGGGAATTAGCCAAAATGTTTTCAGGAATGGGAGGCCGATTGTTGGGCTGAAAGATTTTTTTAAACACAAATACAGAATAGTAGGTTTCAGCGATAAGTTCAAGGTCCTCAATGATGCTCGATGAATGGTAGCGGCTGGTGCATGTATCACATGCAGAGGCAAAAGAGTAGATGAGCAGGAAGTTGTCCTGGCTGTTTGGGAATGTGTTCAGGTTCTCAGTTTCCAGCCGCTTTCTCAGGGTTTGCAGAACACGACTTTCTGCATGTTGTCCACTTCGTCTGCCTTCAGGTGATGTTGGTCTGGCCACAATCACTCTGTGGCCTACATACACTCCACGATTGTTATTGTCTGAGGTTCTTTCCCCAATCTTTCCCAGAACAGCCTGAAAGGGATCATCCTGAAAAGCCTGGTTAAGAGTTTTTAGGTTCAGATCTACCGGGAGGACTGCAGCCAGACAGAACTGTCCATCTATGCTGTATCTGTTACAGGAAAAGGCACAGAACACACATCTCAGTATTCTGTGGTTTCATATCAGATTACTATAAAACAACAACACATACTTAGTGAGCAGAAGACCACAGAAATGTTGGCTGGGTGTGTAACATTAAAAACAGATCCCAGTTTAAATGAGTGTTTGTAGCACCATGAACTGCTGCTGCTCAGCATCCTGCAGATTAAAGCTCTGATAGAAACTCTTAATAAGTGTGTTTACTCACTGTCCTCTGATTTTTCTTACGATAGGAGTCAGATCCACCTGGGCCAGAGAGGCTCCAACTGACAGCAGGAAGACGAGCATCATGCAGGGCAGCACGTCCATCTGCAGTTTAATCAAAAAAGACACATTTTAGACACAATTAAATATGATTAGTATTATAGTCAGCAGTTAACCTTTAATTAAAACTTAATTTTAATATTTATTTAATTTTTCTCAAACGTTCTCACCTTCACTGCTTTGTTTGTCTTGAAACTGCAACAGAAGAAAGAAACCAGTGAACTGCAGGAAACTGAACTGGGACTAAACTGTGAACCAAGTGCTTCACTTGCACCTTAACTGGCAAAATTAACTGGCATTTAATTAGTTAAATAAGTAATTAATATTTTTAATTGAACACTGAAAATTTGAATTGTTTAAGGGCATATGTAATTCATTTTTGTCACTCCTGGCTCTACATAGAGTCTGGCATGTTTTCCACAGACTGACCTCTTCAGACTGCACAACTCCGCCCTCTAGTGTGACATCCAGGCCTGGTCTGCCCTAATTATTATTGCATAAGAATGCTGAAGGACAATTTTTTTAGTCCAAAGCCAGGAGAAACCTATCTCAGACTGCAAACGGTTTAGGGAGCGCTGCAATAAATGCACTGTTGTAATAACAAATACAAAGGCTGCATATTTTATCTCAGAAACTTTAAAAAATGCAAGCCCCTTAAAATATTGGAAAACAAGTTTCTAGATGGAAAAGATACCGATTCAGAGCCCCCACATACATAACAGATACAGTAAGAAACAACAAGGCTAAAATACTCTTTTAAAAAATTAGTTTCTGCGACGCTCTGAGATCACGCACTGCTGCCTACAGTGAAGGGCTCGTCTCCGGTAATATGGACCAATACAAGGCTGCATTTTCAACGTGCGCAGCGCGGTCAGACAGGCAAAGTAGAGCTACAGGGAAAAACTAGAGTCACAGCTTTAACAGTGCGACTCTAGGAGCCTGTGGGAGCGACTGTGGACAATAATGGACTATAAACAACCAGCTTCTCCAATGGTGAATGCCGACACTTCACTGGCTGATGAGCTGAATGCGTTTTATGCTCGCTTCGACGCTGCAGCAATTAAAACAACAAACGGCTGCGAGCGCACGGAGTGCACCGGTGAAGACACGGCCCAAGCAGTGGTTCTCACGTGCTTCAAACAGTCCATCATTGTCCCTGTCCCAAAGAAACAACAGCCCGCTTGCCACAATGACTACCGTCCAGTAGCACTGACTTCATCTGTGATGAAGTGTTTTGAAAGACTGATGAGAGATCACATCACTTCTTCACTTCCTGCCACCATCGACTCACTTCAGTTTGCTTACCGGACTAATCGTTCCACAGACGATGCCATATCTCACCTGCTCCACACATCCCTGAGTCACCTGGACACTGGCAGAGGGAATTATGTTAGGATGCTGTTCGTGGACTACAGTTCAGCATTCAACACAATAATTCCCTCTAAGCTTTTCACCAAGTTGACGGATCTAGGACTCAGCTCATCACTGTGTCAGTGGATCCTCAACTTCCTCACAGACAGACCCCAATCAGTGAGGGTAGGAAAACAAGTCTCCCCCTCCATCTCACTCAGCACTGGAGTGCCTCAGGGCTGTGTTTTAAGCCCCCTGCTGTACTCACTGTGCACTCATGACTGTGTAGCTACATAGAACTACAGTCTGGTGCCAGGAGAACAACCTCCTCCTAAACATCAACAAGACTAAGGAGCTGATCGTGGACTTCACTACAAAGCTGGCGAGGAATTATGAGGCCCTGATCATCAGTGGCATACCAGTGGAGAGAGTGGACAGTTTCCTGGGTGTCTACATCACTCAGGACCTGTCATGGTCCTGTCACATCAACACCCTGGTCAAGCAGGCCCGCCAGCATCTCTTCTTCCTCAGAAGACTCAGAGACTTCCATCTGCCACTGAAGGTGCTTAACTTTTACTCCTGCACCATCGAGAGTGTCCTGATGGGAAACATCTGCACCTGGTTTGGGAACAGCACCAAGCAGGACAGACAAGATCTGCAAAGAGCGGTGCAGATCAGAGCTCCCTGACCTGCTGTCCATCTACACCAAGCGGTGCAAGACCAAAGCCAGGAAGACCATGATGGACCTCTCCCATCCCAACAATGGACTCTTCTCACTGTTGAGGTCTGGGAAGCGCTTCCACTCCTTTAAGACCAAAACAGAGAGAATGAGGAGGAGCTTCTTCCCCCAGGCTATTCGGGCCCTGAACCAGGTGTAGGACTGGACTCCCACACACATCACATCACCACATGCACTCTGTTTTTTTTGCACACTTCTTATAATTTATAATTTCTTTTTATTCATAATTTCTTACGTAAATTTCTAAGTTAAATCTGTAAATTTTTGTTGTAATGTGTAAACCTGTTAATCTTACTGTTAATTCTTACTGTCATTTAATTGTTGGGCATTGCTCAGTGTAAATGACCACAGCAGACCCGGTGACATTAACATGCTTTGCAGCATTCTTTATTAGCACACACACAGTTGCTGTTCGCAGTGCACACAGAGCTGCAGCTCTGATTTGATTAAAATTTAATTTAAAATTTGATGCTGTTGAAGTGAAGCAGAGGTTATATTAGAGAACTACACTGTAAAACCTAATATTGTGCTTAATTAAAAAAATGAAGACGACTGAACTCAATTTTTATCAACTTCTTATTAACACCTAGCTTAAGTTACCAGTACTGTTGGAGCTATTTGTTCTTTATTTTTATTATTTTGAAATTTGTAAAAATTTGTTGTTAGATTACTTATATTTTGGGGTTTATTTACAAGTTTTATTTGTATTTTAATATTTGTTTCAGTGTTCGGTTTGTTTGGTGTTTACCTTGCTAAGTCAGTCAGTAAGAGCTGTAGGGCCATTTTTTCTATAAATAAAGAGACTGGTATAGGACCAGCAGGGGGGGGGCTATGTGTTTTGTTTTTTTTACCAGAGCAGGAGAAGCAGCAGGAAGTAACACAAAATTGATCTTGTTATTGCCAAACTGGATGAATAAACCATAAAGACACAACTTTCAAGTTCGGACAGTGGACTTCTTTTGCCTGCGTACGAAATATGATCTCAGTGCAGCAGGGGCTTGTTGACTTTTAATTGTGGGATGTTTGGTTTGTCAAACAAAAGGAATTGCCACTACAAGTACTACGGTATTCATTGAAAATGTCATGGTCCTGCGGCCATGACTGAGTGACTTTGTGTTTGTGTCCCTTATTGTTGTTATTCTCTTTATTATTCATGGGCTGTTTTGGGATGGTTTGTGTTTTGGGATTTTAGACACTGGGTTCTGGGTTTGTGCTCCCTCTGTTGGTCCCTGGTGTTAGTGTTCCCCTGTCTCGTCAGGTTAATCAGGTCCAGCTGTTTCCCCCACCTGTGTGTGATTTCCCAGTGTCTCTTTGTGTATTTATAGTGTGTGATTTCCTCTGCTCCTCGTCGCGTCGTCTGTGTTCATACCTGGTGTAATCCTCTGCGTGCTCTCCCTGCTGTTCACCCTTCATGTTCAGGTTTGCCACTCCTCTGTGTAGTTTATCCCAGTTTAGTTCGTCCTTAGTTCTGTTTGCCATCTCCACTTTGTGTTTGATATTATCAATAAATCACCCTCACACCTGAATAAGTGCTGCGTTTTGGGTCCTCCTTCCACTCTCCACACGGCCGCTGCCCCGGACCGTGACACAAAAAGCTAATCAACTCAGTTTATTTGATTTGTCTTAAATTAGAAAAACTTAGTAAGCTGGAAATGTCGCTTTTCTGTGGTTAAAAATAGTTGAAACTGTCATTTTATTTTGTTTTTATCTCATAATCAAATCATTTTGCAAATAAACAGACAAAAGGCAGTCTCGCTTCAGCGGAAGAAAAAAAACTATATCGTCACTGCGTTCCTTCTCCCTCACACGGATCAGTTCACGTGTTCATGGCCCAAACAGGTCTATCTGGAATATGTTGAGCAAAGCTGGAGAAATTTCAGCTCAGATTGTTGGTATTGCTGTGATTGTTATGTGGTACACATACCAGCTTCTGTGTTTGAATGCTAAACAAATGTGTTATTTAAACTCGAGACTGCACTTGTGACTGAACAATGAATACATTTTGTTTTGATTATATAAGTAATGTAACTGCAATAAAAATGTGTGGGACGCCCAAATTTAGTTTTAGAACAATACAATCTGAGACTTTAAGATGATGGCAATATAATTGTTTGTTGTTCAGTAGAACAGTGTCCAGTATGGGTCTAATGTGTCAGCTGGAAAAGTTGGGGAACCCTTGGTTAACCCACACCCTGCAAGTTTGGCAGAAAGTAATCGACATTTGCGGGATACACAAAATGTTAAGAATTTTCAGGTGGTTTGTTTTCGACTCAGATTTTATTCCAAAAAGACACGACTCTAACTTTAAATCGTGGATATCTTTTGGCCTTACGACATTCCTCTCTCTTACTCATAGAAACGTGCTCAGCTTTGAGACCTTGTAAGAAAAACACAACCTGACACAATAGGACTTTCACAGATACCTACAGCAAATGCTTTTACATATTCGTAGTGTTTCCTCTCTTAAATTAAATATCTACTTTGCAAGTATTGCAAGCTGCCCTGTTGTCATCTGTTCTCGTAAAGTATAATCAAACTTTTGAGCATTTGTGCTGCTTAGGCACCGTGTTCCCTACCAGGTAAATGACGCTCCGCAACGTGGTGACGTCATTCGGGGCGACTGGAATCGTTAAGGGAATGATTTGCAAAAATGGCAAACAATTCCAAGGAATTGAAACAGTGGGAACCAGTTCTCAACAAGAACCGGTTTTCAATACCCATCCCTAGTGAAGGGAATCCAAAACTCCAGGGAATCACAGGGTAGCTCTCTCACACTCGCTCACGTCTTCTTGCCCACACTCACACACGGTCACAGGTCCGGGGAGGAAGGTCTGAAGCAGAAGAGAAGGGAAATCACAAACTAATCACGAATCACGAATACTAAGCACAAGTTTGCAAGAGCTGTGAGAAACATTAACGTCAGTAGTACAGTCATCCAGCGACGAGAGGATCTGTGTTCCAGCCTCAAATAGTGCTCCCGGTGATGACAGGTGATTGTTGTCAGGTGTGTGGGCCAAGGGCGGGAGCCCACAGTGTGCTCCGCCCAGGCAGAGAGGGAGAGAGAGAGAGAGAACCGAAGCCGCACATGTAGCCCTGTGGGGCCGGCTGGGCAGGCACGGAGAACATGGCTGTATCCCAATTCAGGGTCTGCAGCCTTAAAGAATGCAGACTTAACGGTCCACAAGGGCCGCGTACTCAAAGACCGCTGAGGCCGGAAGTGCGAGGCTTGTGAAATGGGACAGTCTAGCCTCCGTCGCGCTGCCCAGATTGTCTAGCAACCATGATAGCTGGAAACGTGTGGGTGACAGAAAT